TAAGGTGACCTAAACAAAACGAAAGATGAGAAAACTCACACATACACACAGACACAATTTGGCAAGAAAACTAACATTAACACGCATGCACTCGCTATTGCAGACCAGTGGAGAGCACACATCATATGGAGGATTCATGGAGTGCTGGGCAACCGAATCTGGCATGTGATAATCATGTAGGATAGTCCACGCACGAGGTGCAGCCCATGAAATGGGCACCCATGAACTGGGCGGAGTGTGGACGGCCTGTATGATAGTGTGTATGTATGTCCACGCACAAAGTGCAGCCCATGAGATGGGCGCCCATGAAATGGACGGAGTGTGGACGGCCCACGCACACGAGGTGCAGCCCATGAATGGGCACCCATGAACTGGGCGGAGTGTGGACGGCCTGTATGATAGTGTGTATGTATGTCCACGCACAAAGTGCAGCCCATGAGATGGGCGCCCATGAAATGGACGGAGTGTGGACGGCCCACGCACGAAGTGCAATGCCCGTTAGGAGGCAGGAGTGTGGGAGTATGAGTGTGATGGCCGAAGGCCGTGATAATTGCCAGATGAGAGGAGATAGCTGGCCCAGCACTCCTATTTATTTTCGTCTTGTATGAATTATGATACCTGTGTTGAATCAAGGATATCAATATCATTCATAGATGGGAAGAGGTGGGTGGGTGAGAAAGGAACAAACCGGTGTTCTTCTCACTACCCAAGCAAAGCAAATATGAAGTAGCAATACGGCCAGCGCGAAGTATGGTGTATGCGTTACGGGTTCAAGCTCCGATGTGTGCTGCAGCCGCATATGGCTGGTTGGCTGGCGAGTTCAGGTGAGTTCCGGCGTACGCATGTTACATGCCACCACAGCGTGCATGTACGTGTTACTTGACATGCATCAATGAATAGAGTGGGATCTGCGGGCTCTTTGGAAGCCGCTGGAGTGCGTGTGAAGTGGTGGCTTGTGCAATGTGTTAACCTACATTACCGCAAGCTCTAATGTGCTACTAACACTAACACTAAAGTTTACAATCATCACCTGTAAGGTGACCTAAACAGAAGAAAGAAGACTAGTAAGACTATCACAGCACGTACAAGAACACTTTCAAGTGTGGGAATGCTAAAGGCGATCTATGTATATGACAGCGGTGTATGTGCAAAGTATGTGTATGTGCTGTGTCAGGTGGTAAAGTCCAGTGGTAGTTCGAGGAGATGGGTGTCGATTCCAGTGACGATCCGGTGACATCCAATCAGTCAATTAGGCGCCAGCCGTCATCGCAATTGACTGCTGGTTTGCGCTTCCTTATCTCGATAGCTTCAAGCAGTTTCCTTGATGGTAGCGAAGCCTCCCTGCCGAGAATCTTTGCCTGGTGGAAGGGCAGAAAGTTGGAAGACTTTAAAGATTCTCGATGCTGGGTACGATAGTGGAAGCCCCAGGGAGCCTTCGCTACCATCGCCCTTGCCTCTCGGTAGTGCTCAGCGAATCGGTCCCTCACCGGCCGCTCGGTCTCACCAACGTACAATTCCGCACACAACGTGCAAGACATACAATAGACAACACCTTTGACTAAACACTGACTATCCACCATACTCGCATCACATGCACGACACTCCATTGGTCGACCTCTCCCTCTCTTCACCTCCGATCGCTGCTTCTCACGGGGACACACACGTACAGCACTCGACGATCGGACCAACATATCCTTCAAAGAAGGACCAGACACAAAGACAACACGAACATGCGGACTGAACTTTCGAACACGTCGTGAGACACGAGCGGCAAGTGAGTCGTTGATGAAGGGCAGTTTGATGACTGACTTGAATTGGTTGTGTCTGCGCTTGCTGTCACGCTGCTGTTGTTGAGACGGGTGTGTATCTTGTCTCTTCCCCTTGGCTGCTCGTCGTGCTGCGTTTATCTCGGTGCGTGGATAGTCATTTCTCTCGAGCAACTCTTCAATTATGGACATGCTCCTGTCTTCCGCTTCCGGTGTTGACGAGTTACGGATAGCTCGAGAGAATTGGTTCGTTACAACAGCTCTTTTACACGACCAGGGGAGACATGATTCATAGGACAGGTGGACACCACTGTGGGATGGCTTAACATAGAGCTCCCACTCTATGCTGTTTCCACGCACAGACAGCGCTAGATCCAGGAAGTTCACTGACTGAGTTTCGTTGACCGAGTGTTCCATTGTGAATTTGATAGTAGTGTGCTGTCCGTTGAAGTGATCTAGAAGTGCTGTTAAACCTTTCCAGCCATGTCTCCACAGTAGTATGCAGTCGTCGATATATCGCTTGTAGAGATCTGGCTTCACTGTAGCTGTCGAGAGGGCCTTCTGTTCAAGCGCATCCATGAAGAGGATGGCCAGCGGAGGTGCCAGATGGTTCCCCATCGCAATTCCACGCTTCTGACGGTACTGTTTACTATTGAACTCGAAGTAGTTGTTTGACAGAACATACTGCAACATCAGCTGTACATCCGCAACCGTCAATCCAAGCATGTCGACATCATCTTTATTAGTGCTGAAACGAGTACTCTATAAGCTATCGAGCGAGTACTGTCACTATCGAGTCGAGTATCGAGTACTCTATAAGCAATCATGCGCATATATGTCAGTACCACATACCCATTTTTTGCACACCATTTACGCAATTCAATATCCTTCAATAAACACAAATTTCCATTGCAAAGCCACATGGACGACGGACGTGTACGTCGCTATCAAGTTTTTTTAGTTTTTTATTTTATTTATTTATTTATCGAGTATCGAGTCCTTTTTTGATATCGAGTCGAGTACTCAACGAGCGGGTACTCGAGTACTCGGCGTACTCGTTTCAGCACTAATCTTTATGCTGCTCTAGCTTGGTAATAGCGGCCGAAATGCTCTCATCTATAGGAATGTTCGAATAGAGGCCCACTACATCGAATGAGGCGATGATGCAGCCATCCGGGACCTGGCGATGCCTCTTGATGTCTTCAATGCAGGCTTCGGTGCTATCTAGATGAGCAGGTACGAACATAAGGAGCTGATTCAGTATCCTTTCAACAATCAACGAAAGGTTACTTGTAGGACTGTCGCAAGAACTGACCACGGGACGCAATGGCAATCCTGCCTTATGGTCTTTGGGGAGACCGTAAAACCTTGGCATCCGCGAGTGCCTCGGTTTAATTGCCTTCTCCAGTTTCTCCGGGAGCTTGTTCTTCAGATGAGTGTCGACAAAACGTCTTGTCTCCTCATCCAGTTTGTCCACCGTCATGGCCACCTTCTCATAGTCAGCTTCTTGGTCCAGCATGGCTTCGGCTTTCTCATCATATTGTGTACTGGGTAACAAGACGAATCCCTTTCCCTTGTCTGACGGCTTTATGACAACATTATGTTTTCCCCTGAGCTGTTGAATCTCATCTTTCTCTTCTTGGGACAGCGGTACGAACGTTGATTGTTTGCGGTTCCTCTTAGCTTCTTCATCATAGAGCGACATAATGTCATCCTTCATGCGCCGTAGCTTGCGTTCATCTTCCTTTCCCATCAATGGAGGTTGACGTGTTGTCCCACAGAGCTTCCTCAGCCAAGGGGAAGAGACAAGATACACACCCGTCTCAACAACAGCAGCGTGACAGCAAGCGCAGACACAACCAATTCAAGTCAGTCATCAAACTGCCCTTCATCAACGACTCACTTGCCGCTCGTGTCTCACGACGTGTTCGAAAGTTCAGTCCGCATGTTCGTGTTGTCTTTGTGTCTGGTCCTTCTTTGAAGGATATGTTGGTCCGATCGTCGAGTGCTGTACGTGTGTGTCCCCGTGAGAAGCAGCGATCGGAGGTGAAGAGAGGGAGAGGTCGACCAATGGAGTGTCGTGCATGTGATGCGAGTATGGTGGATAGTCAGTGTTTAGTCAAAGGTGTTGTCTATTGTATGTCTTGCACGTTGTGTGCGGAATTGTACGTTGGTGAGACCGAGCGGCCGGTGAGGGACCGATTCGCTGAGCACTACCGAGAGGCAAGGGCGATGGTAGCGAAGGCTCCCTGGGGCTTCCACTATCGTACCCAGCATCGAGAATCTTTAAAGTCTTCCAACTTTCTGCCCTTCCACCAGGCAAAGATTCTCGGCAGGGAGGCTTCGCTACCATCAAGGAAACTGCTTGAAGCTATCGAGATAAGGAAGCGCAAACCAGCAGTCAATTGCGATGACGGCTGGCGCCTAATTGACTGATTGGATGTCACCGGATCGTCACTGGAATCGACACCCATCTCCTCGAACTACCACTGGACTTTACCACCTGACACAGCACATACACATACTTTGCACATACACCGCTGTCATATACATAGATCGCCTTTAGCATTCCCACACTTGAAAGTGTTCTTGTACGTGCTGTGATAGTCTTACTAGTCTTCTTTCTTCTGTTTAGGTCACCTTACAGGTGATGATTGTAAACTTTAGTGTTAGTGTTAGTGTTAGTTTTCTTGCCAAATTGTGTCTGTGTGTATGTGTGAGTTTTCTCATCTTTCGTTTTGTTTAGGTCACCTTACAAGTGATGATTGTTTAGTTTGCTGGCCTTGCCAATTGTGTCACCATGATGTGTTAGTTCTAGAACATTCATCTGCCTGCATTATTCGTCTTTATATTTCGTAATTTGGCCTCCCCTTCCTCAATGCCCTGATGATGCCCAATGGGCGAAATATTGGCAAAGTTATTTATTTGGTGCAGCTGAGAGCCTGTTGCCGGAATGGCGGTGTTTTCAAGTGCAAATAATAATCATGTGAATCTTTGAATTGCACTTGTTCAATCTAACTATCATAACTTTCCTATTCTTGTCATGTCTCAATCACCAATTTACCGTCCTCAAGTTGCCTTCTGCGACTTACATCTGCGATCACCTCTCGTCCACTTTGCCATCAGTTTGTCACGCTTCTTGCGTATCGTGTAGATCGACTGCACCGAACGGCTAAGCTCCTCCGCGAAGAGCTTGTACACTAGCCCCAGCATCTAATTTCTTCAGGATGTCGATATTTTCACCGGATAACGTCTTTTCACTCACAAACTGGTGCCATCGCTTTTCAAAGTCAGACTATTATTGATACCAGCACGAAACCGCAACAAACTAAATTGTCGAAGACGAAATGTAGAATGTAGACTTTATCCTGCTAGGCAAGAATATAGGTTGCGTGCACACCTGCTGCAGTGCATGTGTGTGCGCTGTGCTCCTCATATACGGTCATGCGCAGATCCTAGCACTGGTTGTACACTGTACAGGGAGCATGCAGCACTTGACTGCGCTGTACATACTACCTACTAAACTGGCCTCGATCTCTGCAGCTAGTGCAGCGCTTGACATTGATCGTATTGTGCTCGTCGCGTAACCTTTCAAGTTTCTTTGTTCTTTTCACATTGAATAATCATATCAGCTTCCTCCTCGAAGGCACCTTCCGAGAAAGAAAGAAAAAAGAACAGCTTTATCCTCTCCTTTTATTTATCAAGCAATCAACTTTCACTCCAGGTACTCCCAAGAGTACTCTTAGTAACCAGGGTCGTCTACTAATGAGGGTAGACCTGTAACTAACGTCTAGAAATGAGTGATTACTAATATAAAACATTCAAGTATGGGGCGGCTCTTAAATAAGTTAGTCAGGTAAAGCCTTCGAACAGTGAAAGAACTTATAGTATCTTTGCTGAAACATGCAGCTATACATTTTAATTGTTCTTTTGTAGCTGACTGAGTATCCTTGTTTGTGTTTCCTGAAGACAGACATGTGCCAAGCCATGATTATTAATTTTCGTGGAAATGGTTCAGATTTCCAGTGACAGTGCCAATGGCATTTCTGCACAAATCCACTCGGAGGTTCACAGTAGATTTATCATCAGACTGATGATCATTCTGTTGTGAAACTCGGACGAATAAATAAAACATGTCCATCCTCTACTGTGTGCCTAAGCTCTGTGTACTGCTACACACTCAGCACTGTAAGCCGGGCTGCTGGACTGTGTCCTATCCTGTATCATGTTATCCTTTCACCCATTCACGGCATAGTCCTTCCCCTGTCTGTCGCCATGTATAGACGGTACGTGACCTCTCACTACCCCCGTGCTACGCACGAGACCATGCTCTGCTGGGCATGGCCTCCCTGACTCTTCACTATATCTACACTCATCTGTCTGTAAAATAGAGGACTTCCTTATGTCAGTACATGACACAACATGGTGTCAGAGGTTAGTCAACCAGGTCTACACTTCGAGTAGAAATGGCCAAGTAATTTAGTTCGCGCCGCCTGCAGAATTTGATTTCTCCATTCCAGATGCCTGGCCGGCTTGGAAACGCCGGTTTGCGAGATATCGCCTCGCCTCAGAGCTCAACGCGAAAGACGAGAAAGTGCAAATCTCTACGTTGCTCTACTCGCTGGGCCCAGAGGCCGAAACTGTCTTCGATCAACTGGTATTCGACACCGTTGGAGACGAGGACAAGTATGACAAGGTCATGACGAAGCTGGACGCTTACTTTACGCCAGCATTGAACGTGTTTCACCAGAGGACCATTTTCGAACAGTGCGTCCATCTTCCAGGAGAGTCCGTGGAAGAATTTGTTCGGAAACTTCACGCAGCAGCGAAGTTCTGTTACTTTGGTGACCAGAAGGACAACAGAATTCGAGATCGCCTCGTGGCTCACATTCTGGATCATCAAGTCGCCAAGGAGCTGCAGCTGATTGAGCCCGCAAAACTCACCCTCACGGACGCAGTTCTCAGGGCCAGGCAGGCCGAGAAAATTTCCGGAGACGTTGCAGTGCAAGCCGCCAGGCCGCAGGTCAATGCTGCATCCCGCTTTGGAGGAAAGCAGCAAGATGCAAGGAGTCGCCGCCAGCGCAGCGGCGTTCCATCGAAGCCTGCACCAACGCTGTCCACGCAGAGGAAGAGCGGCACTGCAGCTTCAACATGTCCGTGGTGTGGCCACGCTGGTTCGCACAAGAGTAACCGTTCTGCGTGTCCTGCGTTTGGTCGCAAGTGTAATTCATGCGGCAAGCAGGGCCACTTCGCCGCCGTCTGTCTTTCCACTCCAGCAACCACGCGTGGTGCCAGAGCTGTCGAAAATGAATCGCTCGCGTCCCCGTCGCCATTCATGGGTGGTGTTGCAGAGCTGTCATCCAACGCCAGTCCTTCCCAGTCCACCGACGCCTGGTCAGTAAGTCTGCCTGTTGGCTCGACAAATTTGATATTCAAGATCGACACAGGTGCAGATGTATCATGTATCGCTCACTCCACGTATCAGAATCTCGTACAACGCCCTGTACTCACACCATCCACTACCAAACTCCTTGGTCCATCTGGTGCACCTCTATCCATCAAGGGTCAGTTCACTGCAGACACCATGCACAAGAGTGAACTGTTCTCTATGGGTATCGTAGTTATCGATGGTCCTGGATCTACCAACCTGTTGAGTCGCAGAGACTGCCTCTGACTTCGCCTGATCCAGCGTTTAGATGCAGCAGAATCGTGTATCAGCAAGCCAGCACAGCCCATCGGTTGTATGGTTGTGCCCCCAGCTGATATCAAGCTCGTGGACGACGCCACGCCGTACCACTGTGGTGTTGCCCGCCGTGTGCCTCTGCCTCTACAGGACAAGGTCACAGAAGAGCTCGCACGAATGGAGGAAATGGGCATCATCGTCCGGGAAACGGGTCCCTCTGACTGGTGCTCTCCTATGGTGCCGGTTCGTAAACCTAATGGTCGCGTACGGATCTGCGTAGACCTAAAGAAGCTGAACGGCAACGTGAAGCACGAGCACTTCCCTCTTCCGACAGTTGAGGACACACTGGCTAGGCTCGCCGGATCTACTGTCTTTTCCACGCTGGATGCCAACAGCGGCTTCTGGCAAGTGCCTCTCACGGAGTCTGCATCCAAGCTGACCACATTCATCACGCCTGTGGGTCGTTTCCGATTCCTCCGGATGCCATTCGGTATAACCTCTGCACCGGAAATCTTCCAGTGACGCCTGCAGGACTTCCTCTCCCACGTTAAAGGTCCCGAGGTATTCATGGACGACGTTCTGGTCCACGCCGCTAACGAAGCTGAACACGACCACCAGCTGGACACAACGCGCCAGGTCCTTGCCGACGCAGGCATCACGCTTAACCCCGACAAATGCCACCTCAGTCAAGTACCTGGGACACATCGTCAGCGGGTCCGGTGTGAAACCCGACCCCAGCAAAGTCTCCGCCATTGACGACCTCAAAGAGCCTACGAATGTTCCTGAGCTCCGCCGTGCCTTGGGTCTGTTCACCTACGTCGCCAGCTTCATCCCGGAATTGGCTACGATCTCAGCGCCCCTCCGTCAGCTCCTACACACCAACACTGATTGGTTCTGGGACTCCCCGCAGCAGGACGCCTTCCGTCGGCTGAAAGAGCTCGTCGTTACAGCCCCGTGCTTAGTGCACTATGACCCCGAGCGTCCACTCATGGTCAGTGCCCATGCCAGCAGCTATGGCATTGGTGGTGTTCTGCTCCAGAAGCACGATGGCGACTGGCGCCCAGTAGCCTACGCCTCCCGTTCCCTGACCAAGACGGAACAAGGCTACGCGCAGATCGAAAAGGAATGCCTCGCAGCGGTGTGGACGTGCGAGAGGTTAGACCAGTACCTCTTCGGCGCTCCCAGGTTCATCGTGCAGACGGACCACAAGCCGCTAGTGCCACTGATCAACACCAGAGACCTGGACAAGGTTCCCATCCGATGCCAACGAATGCTGCTCCGCTTCATCCGGTACAAAGTCCATGCCATACATGTTCCCGGCAAGGATCTGGTGGTGGCTGACACGCTTTCACGAGCGCCAGCATCGGCATCAGTTTACAACGTTCTGCAAGACGACATTGGCATGGTTTTATCAACCACTGCCGAAGATCTCACGAGTCCATCCGTTCTCGCCGACCTAGCCAAGGCTCCGTCTGAAGATCCCGTGTTATCCAGTGTGATGCGCTATGTCATCCATGGCTGGCCTGCTACCGTCCCTGATGACATCAAGCCGTTCCATCGTGAGCGAGGCCAGTTGTCTCACATGCAAGGTGTCTTGTGCCACGGCTTTCGCCTGGTTGTTCCATCCGTGCTACAGCCTGAGATCCTCCAGAAGCTTCACGATGGTCACCAAGGTGTCACAAAGAGTAAAGCTCGTGCCCGCTTCTCGTCGTGGTGGCCAGGTATCTCTGCCGACATCGAGGCGTACGTCGCCAAGTGCACTACCTGTATCAAGCAGCGTCATCAGTCTCCAGAGCCTCTTCAGACAACTCCGTTCCCCGAGCGTCCGTGGCAGCGTATCGTATCGGATCTCTGTGATGTCGACGGCCGCCAGTACCTGATTACCGTCGACTATTTCTCCCGTTACATTGATGTCGCTTGTCTCTCATCGACTACGTCACCGGCCATCATTACTCATCTGAAGAGCATATTTGCTGTCCACGGCTATCCGGACATCTTCGTCAGCGATAACGGGCCACAGTTCGCGTCCGACGCCTTTGCACAGTTTATGTCTTCGTGCAACATCATGCATCGGACCAGCAGCCCGAAGCATCCTCAAAGCAACGGCGAAGCAGAGCGCGCCGTGCAGACTGCCAAACGACTCATCCGTGCGCCAGGTGGTCTACAGCAGTCCCTCTTAGCGTATCGCTCCACGCCCCTGGCCAATGGCTATTCGCCCGCCGAACTCTTGTACGGCCGCAGGCTCCGCACCAATCTTCCGTGCCCACCCGATCTCCTGCAACCCTCCTGGCCAGACATCACCGCTCTCCGGGCCAAGGAGCAGGAGGCTAAGCATCGGCAAGAAGATCACTTCGATCAACGCTTCGCAGCCAAGTCGCTCTCCCCTCTGCCACTGGGAGCGAAATTAGGTTGACGACAAGCGCGAGGGTACAGTGGTTGAGCAACTCACCGATCGCTCCTACAACATCGCCACCTCATCCGGTATTCTGCGCCGAAACCGTCGTGCACTGAAGTTGCTCCAGCCAGTGACTCCTCCCGGACCGGTGCTAGCAGTACCACCGGCCGCGCTAGTCCCGCAACAACAGCCAGTGCCTACGTCACAGCCAACTCTGCGTGCCCGCAACAACATCCAGCCACCGCAGAGATTGATCGCAACCATGTAACTCTCTCTGGCTTCATGCTATTGCTATAGCTCTCCCGCACATTGAATAGTTCTGTTCTATGTGCCCGGCTATGTACAACCCGTACATGTATCTGTCTTGCCTTTGCTCCATAACAGTTTTTTCCCCAGCTGTTGTGTTTTTGCTCTCTTCAATTTTTTTCAAAAAGGGGGAGATGTCCTATCCTGTATCATGTTATCCTTTCACCCATTCACGGCATAGTCCTTCCCCTGTCTGTCGCCATGTATAGACGGTACGTGACCTCTCACTACCCCCGTGCTACGCACGATACCATGCTCTGCTGGGCATGGCTTCCCTGACTCGTCACTATATCTACACTCATCTGTCTAAAATAGAGGACTTCCTTATGTCAGTAAATGACACAACAGACTGCACTATCATTGTAATCTGCTTTGTGTGTGTATTCAGTTGTGGTGTGCAGAAAGCAGGAATCCCCAAGGAACGGTTGGAGGTTTGCACCAAGCTCAACGTATGGAAGTACTGAGACTATTGGTTGTGATGAGAACTTCTTTTTGCCTGGTGATGAAGGAACAACATTAGTTCGCCGCTGTTCAGAGAGTGGAGAATGGAAACCAAATCTGCTTCCAATGTGTGCACGTGAGTCCATTAACCCGACTGCTGCATGAAGTGCAGCGAATAGTGATCATGCACCATGGCCTGCCAGCTCGCTTGGCTAATTGAAAGTCAGCCCACCTGGGCCACGTTATGTTGCCAGTACATGTACCACCCCAGTCACAGAGCACAAGTTGGTTGAGTTTTGCCATCAGGAGGCCAGCGCAAGGTATCCGGGGCGCAGGTCTGATTCCAGCGAGGGGCAATGTGGTACCTCGCAGCACAAGAGTAGCGTGATACCCTACGCCAATGTGCGCCCTGCATGACAGATCAAATTATGCAAATACATGTACATGTAGCTTGGAGTACCATCATGCTGAGTGGCACTCATTGTGAGACGTAGGAGAGTAGTAGTAGTAGTAGAATTTTTTATTTAACTAGGGAACTCCCAACAGGCGTTGCCTTTTTACTGGGAACCCTAGGAATGACTTGGTGCTTCTGACAAATACAGAAAGGGGCTTAGCTTGACGACATCCAGGTGGAAGCATGTTCCATCTGTGTGCTGCCAAAAATGAAATAGCATTCAGGCCGTAACGAGACGTAGCTCTGGGTATGTTCAGAGCAGCTGAAGCTTGACCGCAGGTAGCAGCATTTGTGTTGCATGATGCAGAGTGGGGGTAAATTTCGTGCTTAAAAGAGGACTGGTGCAACGAGATAGACACCTTAAAACAAACACAAACAGCTTCAAGTTTACACGGCGAGAGAAAGTATAAAGGTTATATTTGGTGAGAATGAAATCAATAGAAGTATACTGATCATGGCCAAACACTCGCCTTAGGCACCTATTGCTGGTTGACTCAAGTTTGTCTCGGAGTTCAGCAGACAAGCAGTGAACATAACATGTGCTGGCATAGTCCAAGGTACTCTGGACAATTGTCAGGTAAAACATGCGGCGGCCGGTCATGGAGACATCGCGGCGCCCGTGGCGGAATGAGGCAACCTTGCACTGTGCCTCTGCGCACACACGCTTCACCTGCTGCTCGAAGCTGTGCGATGAGTCCAATAGGAGGCCAAGGTACAGAACATGGCTGGACTCGGGGATTACGATGCCTTTGCAGGTGATGCTGGGGATCACGTCCAGGTGCGCAGCAGGTCGCCTGAGCAGCAGTAGCTGAGACTTTTTGGGATTCAGCACCAGTCCCCGTTCGCTGAGGAAGTCCTCCAGATTCAAGAGATCTGTCTGCAGCATTATGAGCGCGATTGAAGCCTTGCGACCAATGACGTAGAACGCGATGTCGTTCGCAAACAGGAGAGCGCGGCAATTTTGAAATTTCTGAGGGGTACGGCGGATATAAATGCAGAAAAGTAAGGGACCTAACGCGGAGCCTTGTGGTACACCACGTGAGCAGGGCTCTGTACTGCCTCGGGCATCGCCGAAAACGACCTGCTGGAGGTGTAGAGAGATAATAAATTTCAGGAGGCATGGGTGGGAGGGAGAAACTGCAAAACAGTTGGATGCACGCAGCAGCACAACTAGCAAGAGAAAGAAGCCGTGGATGGGTTTGTTCCTATTTTTGATGGCTATGGCCATCCGTTGGCCCAACGGTATTCGTGTGAGTACGGCATTTGTTTGTGCTGCCAGCTCGGGCCCGGTGAGCGAGTGAAACTGAACTTTGAAAAGGCTTTCGCTCTTTAGTGCTATTGACTGGCTTTTCATACAATGCCTATTGATGTCTAGAGACATGCTGTCTAGCCTTCCCCTGGTACGCATTGCACAGGGCTTTGTTGAAGTTCGTACCGTGAACTGCCAAAGAGAAATGTTTGAATGGTGCTGGGGCGGGTGCGACATTACGGTGTCCCTGCAGCCGGCCTAATCGTGTTTGTCGCCACAACCTATTTTAAAGACATACTTGCTATTCCTCTAGCAGAATGAAAGCTGGCAAGTTTTAAAACTCACTGGCATCTCTGCTCCAATTTTGGTAGTTGTTACTGTTCACATACAGTGACACCATGAAAAAAAGTAGCATAATTGTGGCCAATGTGAAGCTCATGCATGTTTAGTCCTTTGGAGCATGTGTGCCACAACAATTGCGGCGCACTGATTGCGTAGGGTACTCCACGATACGAAAAATGTAAAGCTGCCTGCCTATCAGTGCTGTAATGCGTTTGAGGAAGAGAAAAAAACACTTTGCACCCTTCTCTCTCCATCACTGTTTGGTTGTTGGAAACATTCTCTCAGATGGGATGGCCCTGCTTCACCTCACCCACCTGCCATCTCCTTATATTCCTCGTGTAACTATTATTTTTCAATCTCACGTGGTATATCCTGAAATGAATCACCTAAGGAAGGGTATCTCTTTCTCCGTACCTCTTCTCTCTCTCTCTATCTCTATCTATCTATCTATCTATCTATCTAGGAATTGGTTTGCTCCCACACTGGAGCTCGCGCTATTCCGCCGACGACTTGACACTTGACTGACTCACGACTGCCATCCAGAGCACACGAGAAGTCCATCGAACCTTCGACTCGGCAAACCTGCAAGAAAGCACCACTCCCTGCTCAATGCACAGTGTTTCGGGGAATTCACCTCTCATCAGTTGAGCTTGAGTAGGCAGAGGAAGATTGTCCCTTAAGAGCACCACTTATATAGTGCTGTCCAGGCACAAACATCACCAGGGATACAAACTTACAGAGGCACTCCGTTTCCAGCGCGACAAACACCTTGTGAACACCAGATAGCAGCGTGAGTCAGTTATCGCTCCTGGACGGTGAGAACAGACGTAGAGGACCGCAGAGAACAAAATCATCGCCGAAGTCACAACCTCTATATCGCACTGTTGTGCCCAGCGCGGGCGTGCGACTAGCTGGTTTGGAGGTGTCAGCGTTGTGAATGACCGAGGGTCCTCTAGGTCTGTTCTCACCGTCCAGGAGCGATAACTGACTCACGCTGCTATCTGGTGTTCACGAGGTGTTTGTCGCGCTGGAAACGGAGTGTCTCTGTACGTTTGTATCCCTGGTGATGTTTGTGCCTGGACAGCACTATAGAAGTGGTGCTCTTCAGGCACAATCTTGCTCAGCCTACTCAAGCTCAACCGATGAGGGGTGAATTCCCTGAAACACTGTGTATTGAGCAGGGAGTGGTGCTTTCTTGCAGCTTTGCCGAGTCGAAGGTTCGATGGACTTCTCGTGTTCTCTGGATGGCAGTCGTGAGTCGGTCAAGTGTCAAGTCGGCGGCGGAATAGCGCAAGCTCCAGTGTGGGAGCAAACTCATTCTTAAACAAAATCATCGCCGAAGTCGCAACCTCTATTTCGTACTATCTATCTATCTATCTATCTATCTATCCATCTATCGATCGAGCGATCTATCTAGCGATCTATGTACTAGTATCTATCCATCTCTCTATCCTATCTATCTACTCTGTCCATCTACTCTGTCCATCTATTCTGTCCATCTACTCTGTCCATCTATTCTGTCCATCTACTCTATCTAGTCAAGTGGTGTGCTTCACTGTCCGAAGAGTGCTCAACACCCGTGTAGGGTAGAGCCTTGTACGCAAGAGAGAGATTGGAAGCTTTGTTACAACTCTGAGTTTCACGTATTACTACGATCATCAGGCAACTGATGGATCCAAAACGGGCAGCCTGAACATAAGGGGGAGCAAGGTGGGAAATTCTGAGGGGTATCATAGGCAACGCGTATCATAGCGCAAGAGTCAGGTGCAGGCGTGAAGTTGCCAAGTCTTCAGACTTGGGGCTATGCAGCAGTAGTTCCGGTTCTATTCTATCTATCTATTCTATCTATTCTGTCTATCTATTCTGTCCCTGCGGGAATTTGCGAAAACAACTCCCGAAAACTTGCGCAAGAAATTGCGGCAGAAAACAACATAAAATGCGACGAACAGTGCGGAATGATGCAGAACTTGCCAGGAATTTGCGGAATTATTTACAGAAATTGCGGATTTCGGCCAAATCACGAAATTTGTTGCATCGTATATCTACTCGGGAGTAGTACGAGTCGTACTGTGCAAATAACCTACAGGATCATGGAAAGCACTGCGTGAAAAGTGCATAAAAAAGTGAGATATAGTGCAGAAAACAACAAAAACGCGGGAAATCGCGGATTTTGCTGAAAATCGCGAGTTCGGGCGAAAATCGTGTCTCGCGGTCTGGGCACACCATCACAAATGTTGCCAGCGTCTTTACTCCATCTAAAATCGACGACTCGGTCCCGGGGAGGAAGCACAACAGTTTTAACTCGGAATCCGTCAGCCCGAGAACGGCAGATTTAGTTGGAGGCATGGCGGAGGTGAGCAAACACTATCAGATGTCTACCTAGTTTCCTACTGCCAATACAATACCTGATGTTTGAAACCAGGCCGGCCTGATGCCGGTTTCCTGGCGAGAAACTGTAGGAGACTCAGAGCGCGAAAACCTGCACCCTGCTCCAAAGTTTGAATCTTGTTGCTTGAATAAGGTGGCCAGCTGTCTTTGATGGTACGGTACGGTACATGCACGGAATAGCGTCAGGCATGCCATCATCAGGCACAAACAAACGGAATTAAAGCTGTGTGGAACCTGGCTAGCGCCAGACATTACCGAAGTAACGTCTTCCGCATAGCTACGGGAATGTTTCATCCAGTGCATATGCTAAAGAGTGATAAGCAACTGAATAGAGCGGTTGTCAGTTGACAAACCCCCTTTTATTTACAATGCAGTTGCGTGACGTCCACCACTTTCTGAGTATCTACATGTATATGTATCTATCTTTAACAGTAATAAGAGGATGAAAAGTGTTTTAACACTTAAAACACTTTTTCATCCTCTCATTATTGTTTGAACTAGCTCTGCCTTTCGGTATTGAGCACTCTATTCGACAGCCTGGAACCTCTCTGGTTTATCTGTCTGTCTGTCTGTCTGTCTGTCTGTCTGTCTGTCTGTCTGTCTGTCTGTCTGTCTGTCTGTCTGTCTGTCTGTCTGTCTGTCTGTCTGTCTGTCTGTCTGTCTGTCTCTCTGTCTGTCTCTCTGTCTGTCTGTCTGTCTGTCTGTCTGTCTGTCTGTCTGTCTGTCTGTCTGTCTGTCTGTCTGTCTCTCTGTCTGTCTCTCTGTCTGTCTCTCTGTCTGTCTCTCTGTCTTTCTGTCTCTCTGTCTATCTGTCTCTCCGTCTGTCAGTCTGTCTGTCTGTCTGTGTATATATCTATATCTCCCTGGACTATGCCTCGTGGGTCATCATGGCACAGCCCAATAGCCAAGCTACACCTCACGGATCACTATGGTCCAGGCTAGTGTATTCACGCAGTTCCCGTCCCCATGGCACAGGCTTGTACACTGTATACATGGTATAGTGTGGCCACCGGCCCACAGAAGATATACTGGCCCATAGCTATGTTGCCTTCACATCCGCAATCCAAGCAGGCCTATGTGTCCTCTTTGTGTGTGTGTTTCCGAGTTGGGATTAATACTTGAAAGCGATACAAAGAGGAGAAATGGATGAGTTTGTTTGCAACCCTGCACACTGTTGTCAAGTGGAAGATAATGCAAGCTCTAGACTATTGTTTGGTACGCTAGAGACAGGCCGACAGGCAGACAGGCAGACAGACAGACAGACAGACAGACAGGCAGACAGGCAGACAGACAGACAGACAGACAGACAGACAGACAGACAGACAGACAGACCGACAGACAGACAGACAGACAGACAGACAGACAGACAGACAGACAGACAGACAGACAGACAGACAGACAGACAGAAAGACAGACAGACAGACATAAAGACAGAAAGATATTCAAAGCAATGATCATTTTACTGACCAAAGAAATGATCTTCCATGATATGGCAGCAGCCTACATTAATAAAACTGTGATGCACATACACACCTAAAGGCGAGTCGCAAATCTCCAAGGTTGTTGGCTCAGAGTTTAGTACTTGGATTAGTCCATTTAAACCGGCAGTAGTTTAGTAAGAATGCAGCCAGAGTACCTTGCGAGTACTGCTGATTGTGCATCGAAGTGTGGAAATTCAAAAGAAACTGGTAAAATCCAAAAGAAACTGGTAAAATCCAAAAGAAACTGGTAATATCCAAAAAAAACTGGTAAAATCCACCCAGCGAGTAGTCGTGCAGTCTTAACTGACGCACCTCGTCTACGACTGTACCTAGCCCAATCATTGGTTGAACCTTGATATGCTTGTACAGCCATGGACTGCGGACCACCGGACGTAACTGCACATCTGCAAACAACGTCTCTTACCCAGCAACTTGGTACCTTGGTCAATGGTCAAGTTCGACACACATGTCCAAGAGGATTTGCAACCAGTAGAGATGGAGATAGAATTCGCAGATGTGCAAGCCGCTGTAATCGCCATACTAGCGGTAATTCGGAATGTCGCCGTACTAGTGCGGGGTGGACTGGAACACCTCCGAGCTGCTCACGTAAGTGGTTGGAATGCATTCTCTGGTGGCACTTGCACTCGGTGTGCATTATCAGGCCATGAACCCAGTCAAAAAGCTTGCCATGCATCATTAGTCACAACTCATATTCAATAAGTGTAGCCCCTGGCTTTGCCGTGTGAACGACTGCATTGTTGCATTTCTGATTGATCATGAATAAGTGGGACAGTGTACATGACTGAGGAGCTTGAGTGACGGGAAACATCATGATTCACAGTGTGCTCATCAAGCTATTCAGGGCCAGGGTCCGAGGCATGTATCTAAAATCACAGACTTACATTGCTCTTGGATCAACTCAGACGCAGTATACTGTTGTTTCCCATCTGATCTTATACTCTCCAACCAGTGTCATATAAGTGCAAGTCTCATGTTCCTGCTTGTAAACATTTGGAATATCTCGGGGCCCTAACCCACATCCAAACAGGCAAGTCTCAAAACCCCTGAAACCATGGCTGCTTGTACTATTCCTGTCTTCAATGTAGGAATCCCGTGCGCGGAAACAACAGCACCTCCGTCCGGGAAGATAATAACTTCTGAATTGGCAGGAGAAGTAACAAACATCACCAATGGTCAGCGTGCTGCTGGTGTTTATGGAACAAAGTTGACATTTGGCTGTAACGATGGCTTTAAAATGCTTGGTGCCGGTGGGAACACATTTGAATGTGGTCCAGCTAGTCAGTGGCTGGGAAGAAAGCCAATCTGCGTCCGTAAGTTGAATTTTTTCCAATCCAACACATCTTGCTGTCATGTTCTGTTACTGCCGTTGTTGCTTTTGTCACATCATACGTCATTATTATCTCATTGCTGTATCATGCACATACCCTGCATATACCCTACACAAACCAGGCCGGTCTAGGAAGCTCGAGGTAGAATGCTCAATGTACGAATGTACAGAGCAGTATGCACACACAACAGAGGCGAAAGGCTGTGTTAGCTGTAACTTAAAGTTTCACGCATCGGAGCGATCATCAGACAGCAGCATTCACTATCGAATTCTCTACGAGCAGGCGTAGATATTTGATGCTAGTGTGGAAGTTAGTGCATATGTGAGAAGTAAAGACGTGGCATTGGGGCAATGGTATTGAGTTGTTTTGTGAGAGTTAACGGATATATACCCTTCACATATGCCCTTCACACATACCCTTCACATATACCCTACACACATACCCTACACATATACCCTACACATATACCCTACACACATACCCTACACATATACCCTACACATATACCCTACACATATACCCTACACATATACCCTACACATATACCCTACACATATACCCTACACATATACCCTACACATATACCCTACACATATACCCTACACATATACCCTACACATATACCCTACACATATACTCTACACACATACCCTACACATATACCCTACACGCATACCCTACACATATACCCTACACATATACCCTACACACATACCCTACACACATACCCTACACACATACCCTACACACATACCCTACACACATACCCAGTGCCAGTGTGATGTACAGTAAACACACACGTGGGTGAACCCTGTGGCTTGTCAACCAAATGAAGCGTCCGGGAATTGATTGACAAAAAAACTCACTAGATGACTTTCACCAAATGAAAATCTGCACTATGCACATTTGACGTTTTTTTGGCTTCAGTAATGGCCTCAGTCACTACGGCCAAGTCAACCATAGTAGGGAGTTCAATCAAAAACCAAATTCGCGAGTTTCGCATAAAACACTAGTTTTTCTAAACCGGGAAGATGTGAGAAACAACCTGTTAAAATTTAAACCCAAAATTCCAAGGCAATCTAGTGTTATAGTCGATAGAAGATCGGAAAATGGGGGTGAAAACAGTCACAGAAGTAAATGCAATTATGTATGTGGGCCGTGTGGTTTCCGTCCAGCACTGCACTATCTGGTGTGTACATGGCGATACAGGATGTGTGCATGCATGCAGTGTGCAAGCATGCCGTGCACGCCTACTTGCACAAGTCACACGTTTTCACCGTCACTGCTTCTACAGTGTGCGCGCAGTTCACTCGACTTTTTCGTCAACCACCAGGAAATCACCATGTGCTGGTTTCTGTAATCATTGTCCTTCTACCGCGATTAAGCGGGAGCCTAAATGTTCTACAATTCTCTTGTTTTAGACTAATTTGAGGCCGCTGAACACGCGGGGCCGAGTAAGCATCTGGTCGAAATTAGTACTTCGAAGTGCATTGCGCGGAAGCATTATTTTTGGAAGCATGGCATGTGTGGCACCATTGGAAAGGTAATGACCTCAGCTACCTAAAAATAGCATCGACAAGGCCGAAAGGGCCGCGGGAGAAGATACTTGGGCCTCGAACTGCATCCCGAACTGCTGCCACAATGCGCCCATTCGCTTTGTACAGGCGAGCTGTACTGTATTTTTCGCTTTTCAGCGACCGGAACTGAACTCCCTAACCACAGTATACAAGGGGGAGGGGAGGGACATCATAGTTATTTTGGAAGAAATTTCCGTTTGGATTTGCGAAATAAAACAAACGCCAAAAAAAGTAAAGAAGAAATGAGTTCCAGGGTGCGAGGTGACTCAACAAGAAGAAATAAGGACCAAGGAACTACAAGCTACACTATAATGTCCACTAACACCACCAGTTACTTTACAATCAGCTCATGCAATAACATTGCACGACACTGACCGACGGTATTGACGTTCTACACCTAACTGGCAATCACATTATAGCGTAACTTGTAGTTCCTTCGTCCTCATTTCTTCTTATAAATTAACCCTTGGCTCTTCACCCGAGTCTAAAAGTAAAGAAAAGTTGTACTTGTGCTTAGTTCCCCTGTTCTGCCCGTGTTTTCCACCCTGTCAGCGGTATGTCTCAATGTTAGATGTCCAAGACGGAGTGAGGTGTGCGTGCAAGATCCGCATGACGCTCACAGGCCGAAGTGCGTTTGCCTGACCTGGGACATGTGTCCAGATGACTATTCACCGGTGTGTGGCACTGATGCCTCTGAGCATGACAATCGATGCCTTGCCAGGGTCGAGGAGTGCGCAATGAACACCACCATCGATGTGGCCAGGGAGGGATTCTGCGAGAGAGGTGAGTACCAGTACCAGCTCGGACTACATGCACATCGTCACGGAATCATAGACATTCTGTGCTTTGAGACGCAGAAACACAAGAGGCAAGTATTTGTTAGCTTTACAGTATGTCATATTGTTAATATTCACATACTCAAACTGACAGAAAAAACAGTAGGTGCTACCGAAAGAGACGGACAAGAAGACTTGAAAAGAAAGGACTCGAAACTGCGAAATGACACATGATCGTATCGCGCATGCGCTCAAGACATGGGTCGGTTTGAGACATATCACCAAACAGGTATCCACTACATCGTTTTACGACACTATTATAATCGGTCATGAAGGGGAACTCATAACAATCCGTGCCTGTGATATCACTTTCAACGTTCCATTTTGTTCTGGCTTCGTGTTGCTGATTGTCCATTGCAGCTGGCAAGTGTCATGAAGAGAAGCCTAGACCACCTCCAAACAGGAACTGCGCCGAAACACGCTATCGATATTTCTATGACAACAGCAGCCGTACCTGCCGGAGTATGTACGTAGGCCGCTGCTATACTGCTGGTGGTGACAACTCTTTCCAACATCTTTCCCAATGTATGACTACCTGCGAAGGCGGTAAGGCCATGTCTGTGGTGTCATTGCTCCTTTCCTCAGGTATCAGAATAAAAGCAGGGCAGGGAAGTGCGCTGGCGAAGGATATTATGCAGCCAGGCAGTGTCTGTGACACAAGGCTTTCCTAGATACGCAGATTGTTTTACCATCTAAAAGTGATAATCTGATCTGGGGTCACTGCACTCCCCATGCACATAATTAATTATTCCCGTAGCTATGCAGAAGACGTTACTTCAGTAACGTCTGGCGCTAGCCAGGGTCCACACAGCTTTAATTTGGTGTTTGTTTGTGGTGGACGGACCTCCGTCTGGCGCTATCCCGTATCTGTCCCGTACCGTACCGTACCAGCAAAGACAGCTGGCCACAAACAGCTGGCAACAATATTCAAATAGGGCTTTCAAATGCAAGATCATAACGTGAAGCAACTTGGAAGAATGAGTATGAATGCGAAGTGTATCGGGTAATGCATGTAGGGGGATTGTGCGGGTTCGAATCCCAGGTTATGATTTTTTTAAAATAGGAGAATTGAAAAATTTATACATCCCTATCCTTTTTCGCCTAGGTCATCAAGGTGGTAGACGGTGTCGTATTACCCTTGACCGTACCTGTCCTGTACCGTGCCGTACCATCAAAGATGGCTGGCCACAAACAGCTGGCCACAATATTCAAACACCGTAAAAGCCCCTGTATACGCCCACTCGAAAATACGCCCACCTTCCGTGTACACGCCCAGTCAGAGGACGTCAACACTTTTGTTTCAAATAGCGCCCATGCCCATGTACACGCCCAGGTATGCCGGAAACACCAGTACATGTACAGGTACTGATACCCAATACTTACTGCTATCCCTATTCCAAGTATATGCCCGGTTCCAAAATAACGCCCGTGCCCTTGTATACGCCCAGGAAATCGAGGCTGCTATTCTATACGCCCGGGGCCTATACACGGGCTTTTACGGTAGGGCTTTCAAATGCAAGATCATAACGTGAAGCAACTTGGAAGAATTAGTATGTATGCGAAGTGTATCGGGGGATGCATGCAGGCAATAGTGCGGTTTCGAATCCCAGTTTATGTCTTGGGGAAAAAAGGAGAAATGAAAAATTTACTATGCTTTTTTGCCTATGTCATCAAGGCAAAAAAGCATAGCGTAGGGCCCTGAGCTTCCAAGCTCTCTCGTTATGTTATCCAGTTTTCGTGGAGACAGAAATGAAATTTGCGCAATAAGTAGAGCAAGTTGCGCATTCAAAACACACACCATTGGCACAGGTTATATTTCTTGTTCACCTTGCTTTACTGATTGCGTTGATATTATGTTATCTTTGACTTAATGCTCGTCTCTTGATTCCATGCCGCTGCGTTATAGGCAATGCGTGTGATCAAAGTCCTGATCCAGGCCCATGCAAGCAGATGACAGAACGGTTTTACTATGACAGCTCTGAGGACACCTGCAAGTCATTTCAATATGGAGGCTGTTTTGGGAATGAGAACAATTTTGCAAGCAAGAAGTCCTGTGAGAATACGTGCAAAGGTATGTGAACGATGATTTGGGCTGTTTTCGTCATATTTGTTGTGCTTTTTACAAACAACGATTGCTTCCTCCTATATCCATAAATCAATCCGTGCTAGTGGAGCTGCCCATTACTAGCCTTTCGCCAGTGCACCCTAACGTCATGGGCCGGTGTAGCCCTGACTGAGTGGTTCGTTCTGGTGCCTTGAGGTAGGACTGCAAGGTTCTGACTCAAACTTCTGAGTTCAAACCCCAGAAACTTCTGACAAAGAAGAAAATGTTCCTCCGTGCACTGTTCATCGTACTAGTACCAGAAGGCCGTAAAAAGAAAGAAAAAGAAAGAAAAAAAGAAGGCCATGGCATGTGGAAGACATTGGAGTAAAAATATGAATGGCTATTAGTACGATCGTAATCGTATCGCAAATACAATGGGTTATAGTCAGTGAATATGCACATTGACCACTGTAAGTGTAAGCCGGGCTGCTGGACTGCACTATCATTGTAATTTGCTTTGTGTGTGTATTCAGTTGTGGTCTGCAGAAAGCAGGAATCCCCACGGAACGGTTGGAGGTTTGCACCAAGCTCAACGTATGGAAGTACTGAGACGATTGGTTGTGATGAGAACTTCTTTTTGTCTGGTGATGAAGGAACAACATTAGCTCGCCGCTGTTCAGAGAGTGGAGAGTGGAAACCAAATCTGCTTCCAATATGTGCACGTGAGTTCATTAAACCGACAGCTGCAGAGCGTTGCTCAGTGAATTCCTTGACACTCAAGTTCATTCACAATCTTCGTCATTTGTGAGAACAAGACCAGGTCTAGTGAGAAGGCATTCTACTGCCTGTAATTCTGGTGAAGTAAAATAAAGTAACAACAACAACACTTTCTTCACTGCTATGTAAGTTCAGGTTTCCCACGTAGATTACGGCCTTCCTCACTCTGTGAGGTTCATTCGATACCAGCTTTCATGTATCATCCGTGATTGGTTCTAGCTTCATTGGCTTGGGCTTGACAGTGGGCCACTCGATTGCCTGGGACTTGTCCTCATCCTTGGTTGACGTTTCGGAGTCACTGCCAGGGTCACCCACGCTACAGGAAATGCTGCGGTGTTCGTCTGCATTAGTGGTACACGTGGCAGGCTGGCCTGCGCGAGTACGGGTAGATATAGTACGACGCTTGCTGGTCCTTCCCGCTCTACTCTCCATCGCAGATCTACGCTGGCTGTGCTGGTTTAGGCCAGCTGCTGGAGGAGTCCGGTGAGAAGGACTTCCCGCGGAAATTGCGGACTCCTTGAGGGCGACAACCTCGTTCAAGCCTGCAATTTGCCTCGACAAATCATCGATCCTATTCTTTTCTCGTGTCTCGCGGTCTGCGCACTCCATCACAAATGTTGCCAGCGTCTTTACTCCGTTTAAAATCGACGACTCGATCCCGGGGAGGGAGCACAACAGTAGCGACGTATTGTTCTTCGGTGGTGTGCTAAAACAAGCTATAGTGCTGGCTCGCTGGCTTTGTCGCCAAAGGATTAGTGGGCGAGGTACTACCTCGGAATCCGTCAGCCCGAGAACGGCAGATTTTAGTTGGAGGCATAGCGGAGGTGAGCCAAAGCTATCAGATGTCTACCTAGTTTCCTACTGCTACTACAATACCTACTGTTTGAAACCGGGCCGGCCTGTTGCCGGTTTCCTGGCGGGAAACTGTGGGAGCCTCAGAGCGGGAAAACCTGCACCCTGCTCCAAAGTTTGAATCTTGTTGCTTGAATAAGGTGGCCAGCTGTCTTTGATGGTACGGTACGGTACATGCACGGGATAGCGACAGGCATGGCGTGCCATCATCAGGCACAAACAAACAAACGGAACGAGAGAGCTTGGAAGCTCAGGGCCCTACGCTATGCTTTTTTTCCTTGATGACCTAGACAAAATAAAGCATAGGGATGTTATACATTCTTTAAAAAATTCCTTTTTTTAAACATAACCTGGGATTCGAACCCGCACTATCGCGCCCTGTATGCATCCCCCGATACACTTCGCATACATACTAATTCTTCCAAGTTGCTTCACATTATGATCTTGAATTTGAAAGCCCTATTTGAATATGCATTGTGGCCAGCCGTCTTTGAATGTACGGTACGGTAGGGATAGGTACGGGACAGGTACGATCGAGGGTAATACGACACCGTCTCCCGTACCGTACCATCAAACACAGCTAGCCACATACAGCTGCCCGCAATATTCAAATAGGGCTTTCAAACGCAAGATCATAACGTGAAGCAACTTGGAAGAATGGGTATGAATGCGAAGTGAATGGGGGAATGCATGTAGGGCGATAGTGCGGGTTCGAATCCCAGGATATGCCTGAAAAAAATAGGAGAATTGAAAAATTTATAACATCCCTATGGTTTTTTGCCGTCAGATACGGGATAGCGCCAGGCGTGACACAAACAAACAAACAAACAAACACACAAACAAACAAATACCAAATTAAAGCTGTGTGGACCCTGGCTAGCGCCAGACGTTACTGAAGTAACGTCTTCTGCATAGCTACGGGAATTAAAGCTGTGTGTAACCTGGCTAGCGCCAGACATTACTGAAGTAACGTATTTCGCATAGCTACGGGAATTTTTCATCCAGTGCATACGCCAAAGAGTGAATTGCAATAAAATAGAGCGGTTGTCAGTTGACAAAGCCCCATTTTATTTACAATGCAGTTGCGTGACGTCCACCACTTTCTGAGTATCTACATGTATATGTATCTATCTTTAACAGTAATGAGAGGATGAAAAGTGTTTTAACACTTTTAAAAACACTTTTTCATCCTCTCATTATTGTTTGAACTAGCTCTGCCTTTCGGTTTTGAGCACTCTATTCGATAGCCTAGAACCTCTCTGGTTTATCTGTCTGTCTGTCTGTCTGTCTGTCTGTCTGTCTGTCTGTCTGTCTGTCTGTCTGTCTGTCTGTCTGTCTGTCTGTCTGTCTGTCTGTCTGTCTGTCTGTCTGTCTGTCTGTCTGTCTGTCTGTCTGTCTCTCTGTCTGTCTCTCTGTCTCTCTGTCTCTCTGTCTGTCTGTCTGTCTGTCTGTCTGTCTGTCTGTCTGTCTGTCTGTCTGTCTGTCTGTCTGTCTGTCTGTCTGTCTGTCTGTCTGTCTGTCAGTCTGTCTGTCTGTCTGTCTGTCTGTCTGTCTCTCTGTCTGTCTCTCTGTCTCTCTGTCTCTCTGTCTGTCTCTCTGTCTGTCTGTCTGTCTGTCTGTCTGTCTGTCTGTCTGTCTGTCTGTCTGTCTGTCTGTCAGTCTGTTTGTCTGTCTGTCTGTCTGTCTGTGTATATATCTATATCTCCCTGGACTATGCCTCGTGGGTCATCATGGCACAGCCCAATAGCCAAGCTATACCTCACGGATCACTATGATCCAGGCTAGTGTATTCACGCAATTCCGGTCCCCATGGCACAGGCTTGTACACTGTATGCATGGCATCAGTGTGGCCACCGGCCCACAGAAGATATACAGGACCATAGTTATGTTGCCTTCACATCCGCAATCCAAGCAGGCCTACGTGTCCTCTTTGTGTGTGTGTGTGTGTGTGTGTGTGTGTGTGTGTGTGTGTGTTCAAGAGTGCTGGTGGGCTGAAGGTACATAAGTGCCCTCTCGCAAGTTCCTCCCAACAGCCTTCGGACTGTGTCGATCCTGCACCTCGCCTAGTGCTTCAACACCAACATTGGCGCCCATTCCACTGCCCGTCATGTAACCGGTGCTTTCGATCTGCTGCTGGATTTAAACGGCACAATTGCGAGCGTGGCAAGCGACCAACAGCGAGGGAGCGTCTTGAGTTCAAGTTCTGCTGTACGTGCGGCGAGAGATATCGCAGGCAGCAGGATTTGCAGCGGCATGAGGCCAGATGTTCTGCTGCGACGCCGTGATGCTACCCCTTTGTTCCCCTCCTCATGAGGGCAGCTTAGCCGTTAAACGGCAGCTGTTTGTCAAGGTCAAGGTCAAGGTGTGTGTGTGTGTGTGTGTGTGTGTGTGTGTGTGTGTGTGTGTGTGTGTGTGTGTGTGCGTGTGTGTGCATCCTCTTTGTGCGTGTGTGTGTGTGTGCGAGTTGGGATTAATCCTTGAAAGCGATACAAAGAGGAGAAATGGATGAGGTTGTTTGCAACCCTACACACTGTTGTCAAGTGGAAGATAATGCAAGCTCTAGACTATTGTTTGGTACGCTAGAGACAGGCCAACAGACAGACAGGCAGACAGAGAGACAGACAGGCAGACAGACAGACAGACAGACAGACAGACAGACAGACAGACAGACAGACAGACAGACAGACAGACAGACAGACAGACAGACAGAAAGACAGAAAGACAGAAAGACAGACAGACAGACAGACAGACAGACAGACAGATATTCAAATCAATGATCATTTTACTGACCAAAGAAATGATCTTCCATGGTATGGCAGCAGCCTACATTCATTATCTGTGATGCACATACACACCTAAAGGCGAGTCGCAAATCTTCAGGTTGTTGGCTCAGAGTTCAGTACTTGGATTAGTCCATTTAAACCGGCAGTAGTTTAGTAAGAATGCAGCCAGAGTACCTTGCGAGTACTGCTGATTGTGCATCGAAGTGTGGAATTTCAAAAGAAACTGGTAAAATCCAAAAGAAACTGGTAAAATCCAAAAGAAACTGGTAATATCCAAAAAAAACTGGTCAAATCCACCCAGCGAGTAGTCATACAGTCTTAACTGACGCACCTCGTCTACGACTGTACCTAGCCCAATCATTGGTTTAACCTTAATATGCTTGTACAGCCATGGACTGCGGACCACCGGATGTAACTGCACATCTGCAAACAACATCTCTTACCCCGCAACTTGGTACCTTGGTCAATGGTCAAGTTCGACACACATGTCCAAGAGGATTCGCAACCAGTGGACATGGAGATAGAATTCGCAGATGTGCAAGCCGCTGTAATCGCCATACTAGCGGTAATTGGGAATGTCGCCGTACTAGTGCGGGGTGGACTGGAACACCTCCAAGCTGCTCACGTAAGTAGCTGGAATGCATTCTCTGGTGGCATTTGCACCGAGTGACTCGGTGTGCATTACCAGGCCATGAACCCAGTCAAAGAGCTTGCCATGCATCATTAGTCACAACTCATATTCAATAAGTGTAGCCCCTGGCTTTGCCGTGTTTGTTTGTTTCTTTTATTTGAATTAGTTTTGAGCACAGGCAATTCTGCCTTCTCACCAGAGGAAAAACCTCTGGTTTCTGCTAAGAACGAATATAATATTATGAGAGAAGGAACTATTAAAAAGAATCATAACATGATAATTCCAAAGCACAACGTATGTATATAATTCAAATGGGTGGGTGTATGTGTAAGCATGCAGTGAAGAACACACAGAGAAAGCATGCAGTAATGTGTAGGGATGCCGAGCAAGGAAGGAGCTCAATTAACACTGGTTACACATTACAATTAATTCTGTATAGAGCCAGTTTAAAGGCAAAAGCCGCACTGTGGAGGCGAATATAACTGGGAAGGGCATTCCAAAGAGTGCTTCCTACAAATGTCAATGACTGACGACCGGAAGGCCAGGAAGGAAAGGCACTTGCAGTAGCCGCTGTTCCTGTCCTCGAGTAATTCGGCGATCATCCCGGGATGCTTGACCTGTATTAGCCATTAACTGAAAGTAGGTGCAGAAAAGAGGACTTGCAAGATCATGTAGGCAACGGAAAACAAAATACAAAACCTTGTAGTGAAAAATGTGAGTTAGAGATCGAATAGATAAGCTGACGAGGAGGGGGGCTGTGGATGCACGGCTGGAGAGTCGGAAAATTGCACGAATTCTGGATTTGCTGGATTTGATTAAACGACTCTGCAGCTGCTGTGTCAGCGACGGGAAGAATGCATTGGATGCGTACGTTAGTCGTGCTTGCACAATGCCAATGTACCAAAGTCTGCGGGCTCTTATGGGCAGAGATCGCCCATGGCGCCATAGCTGGCTGATGGCGACTGACGCCTTCTGCACAACGTGAACGACTGCATTGTTGCATTTCTGATTGATCACGAATAAGTGGGACAGTGTACATGACTGAGG